GGAGGAGGGAAGCGAGAGACCAGGTGAGGCCTGGGACACTAGGTCCCAGCTGAGCAAGCCCAACGAGGGCCTGGACTCGGGGCACACGCTCACTCTATGTCCACTTCATCTCTCCTCCTGGATCTGCATTCTTCCTACCATGGCACCTGGCCACTACCTCCATGTGAGAGCCCTGACTGGCCAAGACCACACAGGGTCCATTGGCTGCAGTGCCCACCTCCTTGGCCATAGGCACAAGTCAGGGATAAAGAAGGTGTGTTTGGGGGTAGGGTGTAGACAGCCAGGCAAGGTGGAGGATGACCCTTTCTCCCACCCTTAGGTAAGGCTAAGCCAGGGGAGAGAACCACACGGCAACATGAGGGAGCAGATGCGGTGCAAGACTTGTGGATGATTTTCTTCTCAAAATGGGCCCACGGAGAGTGAATATGGAGACAGATATGGGACTTTGTGTATTCATCCACTGGAAGATTTGAAAGTAGAAACAGAAAACAAGGTACACGGCAGAACTGTGAAGAGGTGGGTAATTAGGGGCATCTGGGTGGCTCAGTGGGTTAAGCCTCTGCCTTTGGCTTGGGTCAGGATCTCAAGATCCTGGGATTGAGCCCCTCGTTGGGCTCTCTGCTCAGCGGGGAGCCTGCTTCCCCCTCCTTCTGTGTGCCTCTCTGCCTACTTGTGATATCTCGTTCTCTGTCAAATAAATAAAATTTTTAAAACAAAAAAAAAAGAGATAGATAATGAGATATGGGGGACCCGCAGTTGGGGTGACCTCAGGATCTAAAGCTGGGTCAAAACCTAGTCTGATAAGGAAGGAAGAGCAGTGAGTTGTGCCAACACTGAGTATGAATTTTGTGAGGCAAAGGAAGGTAGTCAGGAAGACTCATCCAGGGGAGATGGAGAATGAGGAGGAGGTCTGAAGGGGACAGGTCCTGAAAAGAGGGATGGGCAGTTTCTGGGAGTTCTTCAGGTGATGTTTAAGGGGCATGGGATGTGGAATTGGCCAGGCGCAGGAGAAGAGCCCCGTGCTACTCTCATGGAGCTGCTGTCAACAGGCCCCTGAACCAGGTCAGTGATGGCAGTGGGAAACAAAAAGCGAAAAAGATAAAAGATCAGCAGAACCAGCAGCCGAGTGAACTGGAGAGAGAAAGGCTGAGCGAGCCATGTGAGGCTGGGGTTGGGGTGGAGGGGCAGGAAGAGCAGGATGGGGAACGCTGGAAGAGAGCAGGGCTGGAGCTGGGCTTAAGGAGCTTCAGCTGCTGGCCAATTTGCAGGCTCGGCCCCTCGGCTCCAGACCTACCAAACGGAGGCCACCATTTAGAAAAAGGCCCCAAAACCAGCCGGCATTTTAGGCTGGGAGCTTCCCAGCCAAAAAGCTCCCAGGCTTTTAGCCCACCAGAATGAATCCACCTAAAGGAGACTTCCCTTGCTCAGAGGACGGCAGCTGAAGCCAGCAGAGAACTGTATCCAATTCACAAGAGCACCTTCTGTGCCCCAGGCCCCGCTCCGGGCACCAGGGATTCAGCAGGGAGCACCGAGCCCTGCCTTCCTGGGGCTCACAGGAAGACTAAGACAAACAAGCAAAACCCAAGTGCCCGCACGTTAGGAAGCTGTCCCGGCTCCTGAGTGCTTCCTCGGGCCTTTTTACATACCACTCACTGCCTTGGCCTCCTCGGCACCTGGCACCAACCGCTGGCTGGGAAGCACTTAACTACCGACTCAATCACAGTCATCCAAGAAGTCAATACTTGATGCAGCTTAGTGACCAAGCCTCCAAAAGGCTCCGGCGAAACTAAAAAATCTCCAACATGGAGTGACTTAACATCAGCAATTACTTCTTCATATTCCTTTTTCCCTGTTGTTCCAAGAAGTTCTGCAAACAGTTCTAGGGCAGCCTAGAGGGGCCCAGCTGTACAAAATCTATTGATTCTAAACAGTTCATAAGGCTCATTCCTACATAGCTGGGTTATGCAAAGAGGCTTCATCTAAACCACTTAAATTCCAAATATGAGCTTCTTTCTAATGCATGCAGTGAAAGGATCAAAAGGATTGCGACCAGAAGTCTGGGAAGCATCACAAGAGATCAGCTCTACTGCCGGACCCAACTGGCTTGTTTAAACACACAAGCTGCCTCATCATAATATAGTTTATGCCAGCTTGCCTGGCCACGGCCAAAACACCAGGATGGCACAACACATTTTTCTGTATTGCCCTGTGTACATCAGTGACATCACAAAAAAAGCAACGGACCTTATCTAACCAGGGTAATGTTTCATCCCAAGTAACCCCTCAGATTCTGTCTTTCTTCCCTTTAACCCCTAAACACACACACACACAGTAACGCACACAGCCCAGAGATCTGGCATGAGACCAAGAAACTCAAACAACAACCCAAGTTTAGCTTAAATTCATAAAACTAGGCTTGGGCTTCCACAACTTCTCTTGGGAACACAAAAAAGGTTTACCACTCAGAGCTCTTGGCTTGTCATTCTCTGGTGACCTGCCCCAGGCACACAAAAGATCAGAGATGAAAGATGAAGACTAGGTACTACTTACTTGAGCAGTTTAAAAAACCATGTCATTTTCTAATTTTGTAGCAAATGTGTCCGATTACCAGCACTGGGAGAACAAGGGCACCACAGTCCACTCTGCATTATCTTTATGGCTAGGCAGTTCCTCGGATTTTCAGAAGTATGAGGACTTCTCTGTTCTTTGATGGGTAGTGCAAGATGTGTGCAATTTGCCCTGGCCTTGAACGCTGGGGGCTGTAGGCTAAGTGGGGCATACTGGGAAATGCAGGGGTGAGGGGTTCTATAACCCAGGATGGGATCTCCATGGGCTGCTGTACTCATAGCACAGGCGAGCAAACCAAGGAGGGAGATCCGCTGGTGGTCGGCTAAGTCACACTCCATCTGACAAATAGGCAAGATCCACGCCCTTACCTTTAGAGATACCCCAACTTAATCTCCGGATGCAAGGGAGGTATTGTGGAAGAAACCCCACATAGAAAGTACAGCAGTAAGCTCTAGGTAAGACACTATCATGAAATGAGGGACCTTTGTTTTGGGTAACAATTTAGAGGCCTCCTGGCTAAGAGGAGGAAAAAAAAAGTGGGGCTTTTTTTTTTTTTAAACTTCACTTTCACATTATGTTACTGAGACTCGCCCTACAGCTGCCTGAACAATTATATATAATATACCAAACCTTCTCTCTAAAAAAGTCCTTATTGAGTATAAATGTAGTCTAAAGACATGGATATACCTTAAGACACAAGGTTTCAGTTATCTCAAGTAAAAGCTTGACTCCAGAGATATTAAGTTTTCCATCTTCACAAACAAGAATGTCAAAGGACAGAACCCCTGCTGGTACAGCCAGACTGCCTCCCTGAAAGCGAAGAGAAAAGTCAGCATTCTCTAGTCCCCACCCACCCCCTTCCATGGCAGGGTCTCATGTGTGGGTCTCACTCCCTCAATAATACCTTTGGGGATTTAAGACACAGCACAGTTCTTGGTAAGCGCTCCTACCCTCTTCCCCCCACCCCACACACCCAAGCAGCCCCAGGCTGCCTGGCTTGCTTCCTTGTGGGCTTCCTTGCCAAGTTACTCCCGTGGAAATGTTAGTGTAGCCAACAATGGCCACTCTCATCCTCCACCCCTCCCCACCCCCTTGAAGGGCAGCTGGGCCAAGCCAGGAGTCTACTTTAAAAGAATTTAATAATCTTTACTTTATTTCTTGGGGAGGTTCAGGTTCTTGACCCATCTACCAAATATCCTGAATACCAACTGTCACAATACCGATGATTACAACAGTCTTGATAAACGCTGACTGTAATAAGAGAACTGTAAAGCACTCCATGGCTTGCATGTTACAACTCCATTAAAAAAAAAAAAAAAGTTTAAAAAGGTAGCAGGTTGCTACCTTAGGCAGGGACTTAGCCCTGCAGAAGCCTTTTTTTTCCAGGAAAAAATAGGGGAAGAGGACTGATCTGATCCCTCCCGCGAGGTCCAGCCTTATCTGTCAATTGGTTCTAGCCGGGATGGGTGAGCTCTCCTTCTCCAGAAAACTCCGGAAGTCCTCCCTTACTTGAGGTAGCACAGTTTTGTTTTCTCTCCTATCTGCGACCTGTGTTTAGGGGTACAGGCTACCAACCTGTACGGTCAGTTTCGTCACCCTCCTCCGCCTCCCCTCCCACCTCTGAGATGTAGGGCAGCCACCCGCGGCACCGTTAGCCCAGCCAACTCACTGTCAAGGCTTTTAGTCTACACGGTAAGCCAGTTTCATTCCTAAAGGGGGAGGAACCGGGCACTGTATTCCCAGGAAGTTTCCAAGAGCAGTGCAGAGCGCGGAAGTCACTCGCCTGGACCACTTTGCTGCTTACGGTGTCCACAGTCTAGTGTGAGTCCACAGAAAGTTGGGGATCCCCGCCCTGACCTCGAAACCCAGGGCTTGGCGCCGAGCAGAGGAAGCGCCCCTCCCCTCCCCGGCCTTATAGGAGCCCCTGACCGCTGCGTCTCCAACTGCGCCTCCCGAAACCGCCGCATTCGAAATCGGGCTCGGCTGGCCTGCAGAGGTGTGCGTGCCCGCGGGAGCGCAAGCAAGGAAGAGGCGGCGGGGGCGCCGTCAGACCGGGAAGGGGCCGAAGGCCCCCATCACTCGCTCTTCGGCCGCCCCGCCCGCGCCCGCCAGCGCGCAGCCCCGCGGAACGCGCGGAGCAGGAACTCGCCCAAGTTTGCCAAGCCCCAGCCGAAGTCTCTGGAAAGTTGTAGCTCCCTCTCGGGGCGTCTCGCCTGGCCCTCGGGGGCGGGGGATGCGTGTGGGGGTGTCGCCGCGGGAAGGGAAGGGAGCACCGCGGCCCGGCACCTGTCCGTACCTACCCTCTGGCTCCCCACCCGGCTCTGAGAGGACGTGAGCTCCGCTCGGCGGGGAAAGACCCCCGAAGGCAGAGCGCGCGGCTCTCTGGGGCCGCCGCATCCTAGCACCTTCAGGGGAGGGGGCCGAGGACTCACCTGGGAGGCGGAAGAGGAGAGGACAGAGGCCGGTCCTTGGCGTGGGCAGCCCCCAGCAGGAGCGGCGCGGTCACTACAGCCCCCAGGCAGCGGCACCGAGTGAACGGTCCCGCCGCCGCCCCCTCCGTTCTTATACGGCTATGACCACGCCCCCACCCCCCCACCCCCGCCCCAAGCCTTCCCTCCCAGGGGAGCGAGGGGCGGGGTGGGGCGGAGCCAGCGCCCACGGGATCCTTCCGCCTGGGCGCTGACGGCGGAGGGCAGGGCAAAAGGTGCCCTCTGATTGGCTCCTCGGGTGAATGGTTGCCAAGAGACGAGTAAACCTTCCGCGGCGGGAAGGGGCGGGGGTGCTCAAGGCGGTAGCACTGCGCAGGCGCAACAGAGAGGGGCTGGGTTGACAACCCCCCACCCCCGGCGCCAACTTCGGAGTTACTGGGACTCTACTTTCCGCTAGGCTCTTCTGCCATTGCAATCATATAACTCCTTCTTCCCAAGCTCTCCCCATCTCCGTCCAGCTCCCTCGCAAGCCTGCTTTTTTTCTTTTGCTTCTCTGGGGATTTTCGCGTTGTTTCTCTCCCGGACTGGGGAATGAAACCCCGACACCTACCTCCGGCGTGTGTTTCGAAGTCTGAAAAAAAACATGGTTTCTGAGCCAAGGGAGCCTTCCTCTTTCCCCCAGCAAATTGCTTGGAGGCCATCAGGGAGAGGGCCGGCGCAGTTGGTTCTCTGCCTGCAGTTACCACCTGTGTGCGGTTAGTGGGACTGCGGGCCTCAAGGAGTCAGTCGCCAAGGCGGGCACCCGCGATAGCTTCGGCCCCGCTTGAAATGGAAATGTCGCGTGTTCTATAACATGCAAGCGGGGCTTGGACACCACCCACTCGTCCCATAGCAAGAGGCCTAGAGTCCAGGTTCTAAACGCAGATCAATCTGGGTTGGGATCTCAACTCGCCACCTGTCTGTAAGGCCTTGGGCAATGAACTTAACCAGTCCTCCATAAATCTCTTTCCTCACCTGTATGACAAGAGTAAAGATAGAGCAGCTTTTTAGGCTTGTATAAGTACTAACTAGGAACATGGAAGCTAATAGTGCAGTGTCTGATGCAAAGTGTGTGTTAAGTGTTGTTTATACTAAATAGTAGCTGTTGTTATTTATCAAAAACATTTATGGGGGCGCCTGGGTGGCTCAGTGGGTTTAAAGCCTCTGCCTTCGGCTCAGGTCATGATCCCGGGGTCCTGGGATCGAGCCCCGCATCAGGCTCTCTGCTCGGCTCGGAGCCTGCTTCCTCCTCTCTCTCTCTGCCTGCCTCTCTGCCTACTTGTGATCTCTATCTGTCAAATAAATAAATAAATCTAAAAAAAAAATGTATGGAGCTTGTACTGATCCTCTACTGGGTGGTGGAGAAAAAGGTTACCTCCCAGATGCAGTATTTCCCTATTCCTCTCCTTGCATCCCAGGCTGAAATAACAGTTTCTGCCAAGATCTCAAGAGCTCTCTGGGGGAGGGAGAGGTCTCCTGGAACGTTGATGAGATAGGATTTCAGTATGCCTGCTTGTAGGGCTAGTCACAGTGATTCTATTGTTGGACAGGAAATCAGGATAGATGGACTGATTTTTTTCTCACTTTTTGAGGTATAAATTCAGTAGCATGCACAAAGCTGGTGTGTACACAATGATGACTTTCTACGTATGTGTACACCCATGTGCCTGCCAACCAGCTGAAGGTGTAGAACATCTCCAGCTTCCTCATGCCCCTTCACACTCAGTGTCCCTCAAGGGTAAACACTATTCCGACCTCAGTCACCATATATTAATTTTCCAGGGTTTGTACTTGATGTAGATGAATTACATGCATGTGCATTTTTGCATCTGGCTTCTTTCACTTAAGAGTGTATCTATAATATTCATCCATTCTGTTGCATGTAACAATGCCTCATTCTTTTCCATTGTATATTACTTAATTATGTAAATATTCAACAATTTATATACTCATTCTACTAGTGGATGTTTGAGTTACATTAAGTTTTTGTCTATCCTCAAATGGATAAAGAAGATGTGGTCCATATATACAATGGAATATTATTCAGCCATCAGAAAGGATGATTACTCAACTTTTGCATCAACATGGATGGAACTGGAGATTATGCTGAATGAAATAAGTCAAGCAGAAAAAGTCAATTATCATACGATTTCACTTATTTGTGGAACATAAGGAACAGCATGGAGGACATTAGGAGAAGGAAGGGAATAATGAAGGGGGAGTATAAATCAGAGGGGAAGATGAACCATAAGAGACTATGGACTCTGGGAAACAAACTGAGGGTTTTAGAGGGCAGGGATGTGGGTGGATGTGTTAGCCTGGTGATAGGTACTGTATCCATGTATTGCATGGAGCACTGGGTGTTATACGCAAACAATGAATCATGGAACAATACATCAAAAACTAATGATGTACTGTATGGTGACTAACATAACATAATTTTTTAAAAATGTGTTTGTCTATTCTGAATGAAGCTGTTACAAACTAGCTCCTTTTTCTAACTTCATTGGGATGTAGCTGAAAAATAAAAACTGTGTATATTTAAGGTGTAATACATGATGTTTTGATACACATTGTAAAATGATTGCCACAACCAACTTAATTAACATAGATTACCTCGCATAGATAATGTGTGTGTATGTGTAGCACAAATGCTTAAGATCAGTTCCCTTTGCAAATTTCAAGTACATAATATAGTATTATTACTTATAGGCCCCATGCTGTACATTAGATCCTCAGAGCTTACTCATAGGGCATAACTGAAGCTCTGTACCCTCAGGCCTACATAGACATGTCTTTTATGTTGGATTTATACTCAGGATTGGAACTGCAGAATCACAGAATATATACACATTAAGCTTTAAATATACTGCCAAATAGTTTACTCAAGTAGTATATCAATTTGTATACCAACCAGTGATATGATACTTCCAGTTGCTCCATATCCTTGCCAATATTGGTATTATTGGTCTTTTTAATTTAAAAAAATGGATATGTATTTCATTATGATTTCAATTTACATTTATCTGATGATTAGTGATGTCAAGCAACTTTTTATATGCTATTGGCCATGTGATGACCTTTTAGTGAAGTGTCTGTTCAAGTCTTTGGCCCATTTGCAGAGAGTTGTCTTATCTTAGTGATCTGTAAGAGTTCCTTACATATTCTGGGTATAAGTCCTTTGCCCAGTATATATATTACAAATATCTCCTCCCAGTCTGTGACTTTCTTTTCATTCTCTGAATGTTATCTTTTGACGAACAGAAATATTTAAGTTTAAAAAAGTCTAATTTATTAATCTTATCTTTTAGGACTTGGGCTTTCTTATGTCCTGTTTAAGAAGTCTGCCTGGTCTAAGTTCACAGAGATAATCACCTTTGTTTTCTTCTAGGAACTTGATTGCTACCTTCATAGTTAGGTCTATGATTCATCTCAAATTAACTTTTTCTGCAGTTAAAGGTCAAGATGTATTTTTTTCCCATTTGGATATCCAATTAGCTCAGCACCAGTGCCAAGCAGTTTTGTTGAATGAATGAATGAATGAATGAATATTTGTTGAATGAAAAATTCATTTTAGAGAACAAAGCAACCACTAAGAATCCAGAATGTCCAGAAAAATCCAGAACACACGATCACAATAAACTTAATGCAAAATTTTGTATTACATTGACTCTTGGACCATTTCTATTTTTTTCAGTATCTGGTGAATACCATTAGCATTAGTAGCCTCAGGGTAGAACACAGTTCAGAAATTCTCATCTAGAATTTGATCTGGCATGGTTTGGTTCTGCCTTTGTGGAGGTAAAATTTTGTTCAGCTTCCTGACCGGTAGGTAACTTTGACCATTAGGGTGGGGGGAGAACCAAGAACCAGAAAATAAATTAATTATTCATAACTGTGTGTATGTGTATGTATATATGTATATGTATATGTGATATACACACACACATATATAGTCCCCTTTTTATTCCTGGGGCATTACTTGACTTTTCTCAAATTTTGTTTCTAATTTTGTTTGTTTGTCTGTTTTGTTTCATAAAAGTGTTCTTTCTATCTCATAAAATTCTGGCATCCTAGAGCTGGAAGGAGTCTCAGGAAGTCATTGCCCATTGGACACAGAACCAGATACTAAAACTTTCCAAGATTACTGGAGCCTCCTTGCCAAATTCCAGCTCCTGCCAGTACACATCCAATCAAAATGGTTTAAAAACATTTACATTCTGAGTGGTTCACTTATCTAGACCTACAAAAGCCATGGAAAGAAGAGCAGAGGGAAGAAATCATTTTTAAAATGCAGGTGTGCCTCTCTTGTGGCCATGACCCTGAAAATGTTTTATGTCTCAATAGAATCTTATTTTATTTTTTTAAGATTTTATTTATTTGTTTGAGAGGGAGAGAGAATGAGAGAGAGAGAGAGAGTGAGCATGAGAAGGGGGAGGGTCAGAGGGAGAAGCAGACTCCCTGTCAAGCAGGGAGCCTGATGCAGGACTCGATCCCAGGACTCCAGGATCATGACCTGAGTCAAAGACAGTTGCTTAACCAACTGAGCGACCCAGGTGCCCCAAATCTTATTTTAAATACTTAGAGAAGGAAAGACATTCTATCATCAATTATTTTTATAAGACAAAAAGAAAAAAACCCACTTCTATTTAGTGCCCAGAGACCCTCATTTATTAGTTTCTTAAGTTTTTGTATTACCTTATCTCAAGGTGGATTATCATGATAAATGTTTATTAAACTACCCACCTCTAATTATCTTACTTAAAATGATTTTTATGGATGCCTGAGTGGTTCAGTTGGTTTTAAGCGTCTGCCTTTGGCTCAGGCCATGATCCCCGGGTCCTGGCATCGAGTCCTACATCAGGTTCCCTGCTCAGAGGGGAGCCTGCTTCTTCCTCTCCCTCTGCTGTTCACCCTCCAATATGTGATCTCTGGCTCACTCTCTCGCTGTGAAATAAATCTTTAAAAAAAATGATTTTTAAGGAAAGTTTTGATTGTGTATATGGACATAGAGGAAAGTACGCAAATCATAAAAGCACAGCTCAGTGAACTGTCACAAACTGAATACACCTTGGTCACTAGCCTATAGATTGAGAAACAAAGGAGCACCACAGCAACATTGTCTGCATCCTATCGAGTCTCTGGTGAGGCCAAGGCATGACTTGGCTCCCCACTTCCCACCTAGAATTTTGCCTCTTCTTGGGCTCCCTCAG